GTAGGCCTAGTGTTTTCAGAGGCCTAGTGAGTGGTATGAGATCCAGGGTTTTCACAGGCCTAGGCTGGGGAGAGGCCTAAGGGTTTTTAAAGAGTTGGTGAGAATTGTTAGCCTGACTAGAAGTATATATTTTATTCCTTATCTTGCAAGAATTTTTAGTTTGACTCGAGGTGTCTGTGTATACATATTTTTTTTCCTCTTCCTCTTCATTGCTTACTTATGAAGTCGGTGGCACGGTATTTTGCGATCTTTCCTTTAGAACGATAGTTATCCCTATTACAAACCTTGATTATCAAATATGTTGTGGTGTAGATATAGACTAGCAGGTACCTTTGCGTGTGTGTATGTATGTCTATTAGTGCGTGCGAGTACGCGCTCGCCCTGGCTGAGAGACTGTCTTTGTGCGTGCAAGCATAGACATCTACATTAGCATATGCTCTTTGCTCATGTTTATGGAATAACTAGTCGGTGCGCGGGCATGCATCAAAAGACGCGTCTCCTGTGTGCTCACGGGAAAGTACGTCCATGGAATTTGGTCTGATTTTGGTTATTATTTACCTGCATTTATTGACACGGGACGGAGGTGTAGAGGCAAATCCCCGCTCACTCAAGGCCGAGCACACTCAAGATCCGGGGCAGTGAACCGGGCGGACGGAGTTATGCTGCGCCCGCGGGGTACGGCTGCGCAGGAGAGGAAAGGGAGGAAGAGGGAGAGGGAGGGAAGGAAGGAAGGAGGGAGAGGGAGGGAGGAAGAGAGAGAGAGAGAGAGAGAGAGAGAGGGAGAGGGAGGGAAGGAAGGAAGGAGGGAGAGGGAGGGAGGAAGAGAGAGAGAGAGAGAGAGAGGGAGGGAGAGGGAGGGAAGGAGAGAGAGAGGGGGAGAGGGATGGAGCGGGAGGGAAGGAAGGAGGGAGAGGGAATGGTGCAGAGGGAGGGAAGGAGAGATAGGGGGGGAGGGGGAGAGAGGAGGGAACAGAGGGGGAGAGAGAGAGAGAGAGAGAGAGAGAGAGAGAGAGAGAGAGAGAGAGAGAGAGAGAGAGAGAGAGAGAGAGAGTGAGTGAGAGTAAGAGTGAGAGTGAGAGTGAGAAAGAGAGGGGAGAGGGAATGGTGGAGAGGGAGGGAAGGAGAGAGGGGGGAGAGGAGGAGAGAGGGAAGGGGAGAGAAGGGGGAAGAGAGAGAGAGAGAGAGGGGGGGGGAGAAGAGAGAGAGAGGGGGAGAGGAAGAGACAGAGAGAGAAAGGGGAAGGGGGAGGAAGAGGGATGGATGAAGAGAGATGAAAGAGGGAGGGAGGGAGGGATGAAGAGAGACAGACAGACAAACAGTGAAAGAAAGAGACAAACAGACAAAGGAAGAGAGAAAAAGATTAAGATCACGACTTGATGCTAAAAGTTCAAGAGGAATCAGTATTAAGAAAACAAAAGACGACAGAAAAATAGCACAAGAAAGATCCACCAAATTGAAAATCTACGGATAAAAAAAAGAAAAGAAAAACAACAATAAAAGCAGACAAACAGGTAGGGTTCAAAGCAATGACACCAACCTGTCATGAACTGTACCTAAACTGCCATTGGCTTTGGATGCGCATGGACCTATCATTAACACCGTCATCTGTGGTGTGCCTGACATCCCCCCCCCCCCCCCCCTCCTCCTCTTCCCCTGCTACTGACCCCGCCCCCCCCCCTTCCCCTGTTCCATTGGTCCATCTATCTGTTTATCTATTTTTCCCTTCGATAACGCCTGCTACCTTTTTTGGAGTAAGAGGATCTGGCCTCGTGGACGACAAAGTCACAGGGTCTGTCGAAAAGTAACCCCAGGTTGATTAAAAAGTGTTATAAGTTTGATTCACACTTACAAAGGACCTGACTGTGTATAAGTGTGCGTCGTTCGCGCATGTTAACCCCCCTTCCCCCACCCCCTACACACACACCCCACCCTACTTACATGTACATGTTTCTCCTGTTTTTCGTTTTTTTTTTTCGTTTCGTTTCGGCCGGATATATACAGTGCTCTCTGACGTCACTCTTTGACATAATATTGCGAAGTGAACTTCTTTTATTTTTGAAAAGTGTTCTAACTCCATCAGAAAATGTTTAACAAATAGAAAGTTTTATTTTAGGATAAGAAGCCCCTTTGTACGCGCGAAGTTAGGCTTTTCTCGAGTAGCGCTACTGCTGCAGCCTCTGGGATCCCCTCCTGCCCATCCCCCTACCTGGTTCCTCTCCTCACCCCCTTCCTGGTCCTCCCCTTCCCTCCCCCCCTCCCGGTCCTTTCCCTTCCTAGTCATCCTCCCTGGTCCCCCTCCCGGTAACCCACCTCCTCCTGGTGCCCTTCCCTAGTCCCCTCCTGGTCCCTTTCTTCGCCCCCCCCCCCCTTCCTACCCCCAGCACCTTCAGGACCTTTGATGTCGGTAACAGGATCTCCAGGCAAGCGTGTCGGGTAAGATGCCGCCCCTCGTTCTAAGTCGTTGTCGAAAGCGAGACCCTGCGACCAGAAACGCTCTCTACATAATATTTCTTTGAGACGTTTGCCAGTTCAGTGGGGTAAGAATAGAAGGGATGAGAAGTGCGCGTCGGAGATTTTCTTAGATTTGTCCCGCGCGTCCCGTTTGAAGCGTGAGGAGGCGCTTCTGTACTTTCCCTGGAGTTCAAAGCTTGCAAAGTTGGGGAAGGGAGTTCATAGGGCAAGGGAAGAGGGTGCATTAAAAATAGAAAATTGATATTGCTGTCTGTTTCCACAGATAGTAATATCTTCCATAGCACTTTTCTTAAGATGTGGATAGGTATCATAATTGCATAGGCTTAACACGACCTTATACTGTTGCATCCATCTACCTTCCTCCACATAATCTCAACATAGACGATTTGGAAGATCTACATGGGCAGTTGCCTCATCCATTTATACTCTTTGGAGATTTCAGTGGGCGGCATCACCTCTTGAGATGTGCAACCCACGTGGAAGAGCCTTGGAGTCCTTGTTCTCAAGAGTAGATGGAGTCTTACTGAACAAGGAGATAGTTTTGTCATAAGACTGTATTCCACACCAAGTAATATCTCACTTGTTGGATCTATTCATCAGGATCTTTGGGGAGGGCACAGTGTCATCCATTCGGAAAGAAGTTATAATCATTCCTATCCCCAAATCTGGTAAGACTTCCATACCAGGGAATTACAGACCAATATCTCTCACCAGCTGCATCTGCAAACTGATGGAGGAAATGGTAAACGTGCTAACCCCATCTCAATATGGGTTTAGAAAATTGAGATCGACCACAAATGTTCTTGTGAGGTTGGAGATTGATATACCGAATTCCTTTACACAGCGACGTCACATGTTAGCTGTCTTCTTTGGCCTCGAAAAGGCTTACTATACTATCTGGAAACGTAGCATACTCATGAAGTTGCATGGCAATGGTTTGAGAGAAGCATTACCGACCTTCATACAAAGCATTCTTGCTGATAGGCGTTTCAGAGTGCGGATGCGAAACAGTTTCTCCAACCCGGAAGATCAGCTGGAAGGGGTCCCACAAGGGAGTGTCTTAAGTGTGACCCTGTTTGCCATTACTATTAATGATATCGTAAAGGTCGTTTCAAGTGTTGTCTCATGTAGTCGTCTTTATGTAAGGAGGAAGCTTACAGGACGTGCAAGGACACATGCAGACTGCAGTGAATCGTGTTGTGTAGTTGGCAACATACCATGGATTCCAAGTCTCCAAGGAAGACAAAAGAGGAAAGGTCCAAACCCACTGCGTTTTGTCCAAGAGGTGAAGTACTTGGGTCTATTTTTTTTACTCAGGCCTTACATTTGTGCCTCACATCAAACAGTTAAAGGCGAAGGCTACGAAACTGCTTAGTATTTTGCGGGTTCTTGTCCACCTGCCTTGGAGGTGCAGACCGCACAACGCTTCTGCGGCTTAACCGAGCAAATTATTCGTAGCAAATTTGACCATGGATGTGAGGCAACATTCATCTGCAACTCCCAGTGTTCTTCAAAAGCTGGACTTGGTTCATAATGAAGCTCTCAGAGTCTGTACAAGGGCTTTCAGGTCTTCACCTGTGGAGTCCCCTTATGCTAAAAATGGAGAACCACATATTTCATTACACGGGGACTACATGAATCTGATTTACTATACGGGAGTACAAAGTTTTCCGAGATCTACATCCAGATCGGTTTTCAACCCCCTTGAGGTCAGCCGATTCTATCTTATAGAAGATCTCATTTTGAAGCTCTCCAAGCTTCTAGCTGCTAGAATTCCCAGCCCCCCACCCCCCTTGTACCAGACTAGTAGAGCTGGATTTGGTCGGAATATGGAAGAGGGAGAGATCCAAGGAGAAGTCAGGGAGAGATTTCTTCAACACACTACTAAGTATGAAGGGTCAGATGCAATACATACAGATGGTTCGAAATCTGAAAAATGATGTGGGCTTTGGAGCAGTGAGCATGAGGAAGACTGCATTTGGCAGTCGTTCTTCACTGCAGTTACATGCCATCCTTTCAGCAGTCAAAATGACTATGCAGGAACCATTCTATTGCAATATAGTGCGACTCTCGTAGTGCTGTGCAAGCAATCAAGAGCTTAACCTCTTCACATCCAGTGGTAAAGGAAGTTCGAAGATTGGCTTGCACTGATGTCAGCACGTAAGAAGGTAACTGTTGGGTGCCAGCGCATGTTGGTGTCCGTGGAAATAAACGAATTGATCGGAGGGCCAAAGCAGCTGCAGCTCAGCCCTACGATACTCGTTTTCCTCTCCCACACACCGACTTGAAACCTAGTATCAAAAGTTGCCTTCGCGATAGTTGGAGGGAGCAATGGAGTCATACCTCTAGAAGCAAACAGCAAGAGATTAGAGATGAGCTTGGCAGTTGGGTGGCCAGCGTCCATCTCAACCAACAAAGAGAAGTTGTGTTAACAAGGCTGATAATTGGATACATTCGCCGCTAATGACCTTAGCTGTTGACGCGGCAGATCATTTTAATCAATTAATCAGACTCGCATCTTTTGAGAG